TGATGATGCTGACGCACAACGCCCTATAATGACTACAAGATGATGATGGTGGTGATGGCGAGCATCACTAATGATGATGATTTGATGATGACGATCATGATGGTGGTGATGGCGAGCATCACTAATGATGATGATTTGATGATGATGATGATGATGATGATGATGATGACGCATATCGCCCTATGATGACAAAAGGATGATCATGGTATTGATGACGAGCACCTTTGATGATAACCTGATGATGATGATGATGATGATGATGATGATGATAATAACGCAAATGATGGTGTTGATGACGAGACCTTTGATGATAGTACCCTGATGATGATGATGGTGGTGACGAGCGGCACCCTGATGATGATGACGAAACATTATCGTGATGACGATGTCGATAATGATGATGAACCACGCCCTGTTGATGATGCCGATGATGATGATGATGACGAGCCGCACCCTGATGATGATGATGCTAGCAAACCTTGATGATGAAACCTTGATGATGATGATGATGAACATCAGCTTGATGACGAACTGCGCCCCTGATAGCCTCGTTGTGATGGCGATAACAGTGTTGATGGTACTTGATCACACGTCCAAGCTGCGCCCCTGAAGACGAAAGCAGCGGGGTGATGTCGAATCGCGACCTGATAGTGATAGTGAGAGCAAGGATGATGGCGAGCAGTACCCCAATGGCCGGCCGTTACTGTAATCACTCGCACTTCAGGGTACCTAGGGCTAACTCCACTGTACTCCACAGGCATCGACAAAGCCAACGCCTCTTAGGCCGAAAGCCACGTGCAGCAACGTAGCAGCAATGGAGTAAAGCGTGGAACTCCCAAAAACTAAACGCCACCGAGAGTCAGACCACCTGCCACATCAACTTGTGAGATGGTGTGGTCAAGCGCATGTGGTCTCCTGCACGTGCGCTAAGCGCCAGGACTTTAAAAAAGGCCGCCATCGCCGCCGCGCGCCATCTCCAGGAACACGTAGCGTCGGGCGGGGCGCAGCGCTCCCGGTAGCGCTGCGCCCCGACAGCCGTTCAGAAGTGAAAAGACAATGCACCGTAGAAAGATATGTCATTGAGAACAAGATACATCATCCATCCATCCATCAGGTGAGAAAGCAATCCACATGCTCACACACACAACCAAGACCGCAGAGAAGAGGAAGAGACCCAGCACACCCCAACAGGCCATGAAGCACCAAGCAACCTCCCACAGGCATAACCAGGTCACACGACACTTACCTGTGAGGCCCGGCCTCCAAAGATGGATAACGACTCACCCCCCTCTCTCATAGGTCCTCCTGACCCCTAGCTACCACTACACGAAGTGTCCTAGCATGACTAAGAGGGCCTCCCTACACCCCTGTTACAACGCCGGATCCTCCATCGATGTCTGAAGAGCAAAGTAGCAACTTATAGCTCTTTGATGCAGATATGGCAGCCTCCGATCAAGTCTCCCTCTTGAGGGGAAGCCCAAAAGTCACTCAATGTCTTCGTGAAGCGCAGATTCCAGGTGCGAGTACCTCTCACTGTCTACTCCGTCCCGCTTACTCCAATCAGCCTCCTTTGTGTCCCGCCACCCCATCCAATCACACAAGCAACCTGGTCAGGTCTGATGTCGACCCTCAATGACCCAACCAGGTGGGGCCAGTATCCACATACCTCACTGCCCCTCCTAACCCTAACTTCCGAACCCTAATCCGAGATTAGGTTAGCCCTACCTAATTCGGAATTAGGTTTAGGGTGACTAACACCTCTCGCCAACAAGTAAGTCCGCTCCGATACCAATTGTTACGCTCCTGGTCATTCCCAAAGTGCAAATTCACAATGAAAGACAATGCCACCCAATTGCGAAAGAAACGAAAGCACTTGCAAAGAGAGAGAGATCGAAGAAGAGAGAAAGAGGAAGAAGAAGAAGAAGAAGAAGAAGAAGAAGAAGAAGAAGAAGAAGAAGAACAACAAGATGTACACCAGCAAGACCAATGACAATTCCCCCTTCTCTCTCCACCTTCCTCCTCCTCCTTCACTTCGCCAATCTTATTCTTTTCCCAATAATAATAATAACAATGAGTGGATGAACCAGAATCAATGTCCGAAGTTCCCTCTTACTGCTGACACAACAACAACAGGTCCACCATAGTGATGGCTTCCCCCCTTCTTCCACCTCTCAAATGCCTAGGCTATGGCGGACTACTGAGGGCTCAGCCCTCCTGTGCAAAGGACAACGCAAAGCAGCTATGTCGCAGCAATCCTGTCCAAAGGACAACCCAAAGCAGCTATGCCGCTGCTGACTAAGTCGCCATGCCTGACTCTGCCTCGAGCTTCCTTCGTGCAGCACTACCCCAACTGGGGCCTTCCAGATGCAGCGCCCAACAAGGTGATGAAGATGGTGTCCACCATAGCCAGGTAGGTACCTCACCACTCTCCTCCTTCGCCCCCTTCTTCGTCCTCCTCAAACTGGGCTGCTCGCCATAGCCAGGCTGATCGCCCAGCTGCCCTTCTCCTCCATGCAGCGCTGCACAAGTCCAGCGCTAGGCTCAACAACATGTCGCCAATCCTTACATACCGCAAATGAGGAGGAGCTGCTTGCTCCTCCGGAAGATATAGCGGCCTACTGGACTCTTGGGCGGTGACTTCCTAGGCCGAGCGGCCTCCCAGCAACCGGTTCCTCCTCCCTTTCGGAGGGAAACATCATTGCAGGCTCTGCTATCGTCCGGACAGGCCCTAGACTCAGGCTACTTGGACTGGTACCGGCCTACCTCTAACCTACCGCTACTGGGCCTCTAAAAATGCCAACTTTTGTCTTCTTCTGCTCGGCCTCCAGTACCCGACACTTCTACCACTACTTGAGTGGTACGGGCCTACCTGCTACTTGAGTGTTTTTCCCCGCTGCTCTAAGTGTCGCGGGCCTACCTGCTACTTGAGTGTTTTTCCCCGCTGCTCTAAGTGTCGCGGGCCTACCCCCGCTCGCTACTTGAGTGTTTTCCCCGCTGCAACCCTCAAAGTCACGGCCATAGGTAAGTACCGGCCCTGCGGGGCCTTTCATAACAAGTACCTTTGCGGGTCAGACAGGCACGCAAACCAGCAGGCACGCACACACACACAGACTTGGAAACCACAGCAGAATGCGGGAATCTCAGCAAGGCATTCATTCCAGCGGCAAATCCCAGAAATCAGCAGTGTTCTCAGTCTGTGTTTAGGCGGGTCATTACATAATACAAAGGCATTAAAAAAGTTTCAAAAAATAATAAGATTGTTTAGGCCCCACAATAAAATGAAAACAAAAAGTAAAAAGTGAAAAAAAAAAAATAGTGAGTGCGCGAGCATGTTTTGACACCGCCATCTTTGGCGAT